CTCCCGGCTCCGGGGCCGGCCGCACCAGGGCTACCGCCAGCTTAGCTTTCCCCCCCGGAGGTGCGACACGGTGCCCCGTAGCCTCCCAAAAGCTCGGGCCAACCACGATCGGAGACCCGCGTGCCCTCACCTCATGGCTGCGGCCGCAGCGCGGAAAAGAAGGAGAGCCGTCGGCCCGGGCTCCTCCCATTATCTGCGAGGGGAGAGCCCATCCCCCGCTCGGCTTCCGGCCGCAAAACCCTCCAGTCCTTTTACCTTCTCCCACCCCCAAATTACACATATCCTGCTTAAAAGCTCGGAATAATAGAAGCCTCGCGCTGAGAATCGGTCTTACATTTAAAAGCTAGAAAAAGTACCCCTCCGGTTTGGCCGAATGGTGCGGTCCGACCGCCTAGTAGGCATGCGTGGTACGGGCGCCTGGTCACGTGGGCACCGGAAGCCGGAAGTTGCGCAGGCGGATGAGGCTCTCCGACTGGGATGGCTGGCCTGCTCCCTGTTGGCGTTTCGGCGTCTCTGGGGCGATATTTTATTAGGAGAGAAAAAAATTAGTGAAGTGAAAGAATAATGAGGGCATATAGCAAACAAAAGCAACCTCTTACTCAGTCTCTCTGCGGAGTGGGAGCCCCTGGAGTGCACATTAGCTCACCAAAGGACTTTGGGGGGCCATGCAGGTCCTTAAATCCTTCCTCCGTAAAGTGTGCCTGATCCTATTATATCTGTCATCCAATTGTTAAAGTCTCCTGACTTGATGTTGCCAACTTATAAGGAGACATATTAAGACAAGCTCCTCCGTCGGTGGGAGCCAGTCTTTTACTTGCACGCATTGGTCGGGCATGGAATTTCGTATGCTGGGCACTTAGAATAGTGCAGGCTGAATGAATGATGAATGTGAAAAGTTAAAACAATTCTAATTGTCGCAGATCATGTCCGGCTGTTTTGGAGCCCTCAGACGAAAAATTCCAAGGAGATAATTTGGGGTTCAAGAAACCCAGATCTGGGCCTCCCTAGTGGCACAGGGAGGGGTTAGCACTGTCAAGCTTTCGCCAACTACTACAGCATGAGTTACATCCCCGGCCAGGGAGGTGACCCCCAGGGCACAGCAGACCTGTCTGGCCCGCTGCCCCCCTCAGCAGTGTATTTCAGAAGATCGGCCTGTGATGCCCTCCACTCTGTCTCTGGTGAATTCTCTCACCCCCCCCCCCACACCTCTGGCCTGGACTCTAGTTCTCCTAAGCATAAATAAAATACACCCTTACTTTAAAAAAAGGGTTCTTTATGCATACAAATACATTTTAAAATAAATTTTAAATGCAAAATTATCCTAAAATAAATTTTTAAAAGAAAAAAAAAAGAAACCCAGCTTTGAATTCTGTCTCCAACTTCTTGACGGACTCCCATTGATTATCACTTCTAAGTTGTGAAGTTTTCTTGCTTCTACATAGAATTGAAAAGGAAAAAGGAGTCACATGTATGCACTTTCTCACAATAGAATGTCATTCTCAGTTTACAACTGAGTGAGGTAGCAGACTGAAAACCCAGATTTTTCTGATTTTCTGATTGCAAAAACCTTGTATTCTGTCATGCCAATCTCTTTTGAGCTCAAAGGTCTGTTCATGGAATGAAGGGATGCTAATATGCTTCATCCTCACTCTCCCCCAGAGTGCCCCAACAAACCACCTAGGCTGGCCACCTACTTGTTACAGAGCCCAGGGTGAGGAGGAGTTCCCTCTGGTAGAACACAGCAGGCTGACATTATTTTAGAGTCACTGCACCTGGGCAGATATACACTCTACTTGTCATTTCTGTCGTGAAGCAGTGAAGCAGAGGAAGGGACAGAGGTCCCCTGTCACAACTGACCCCTGCAAAGCAACTTACAGCTTCTCCAAACACCCTAGAAACACATTAGTCGACTTCTTTGTGCTTCATCCTCCCAATAATCCAGGTGACAAACAGTACAGGCACCCCCACTTTACAGAAGTGGAGTCATTTGTTCAGGGTCACATTACCGGAGCCTTGTCACGTCGGTACCAAATTCTCTTAACCAGAACCCCCTACTCCTTTTCTCTTCACGGTTCATATTCATGGTGGGCAGGGTCCAGTTTTTGGATATTTGCCCCCAAATCAAGGATGAAGGGGGTGGGGAACAAATCTGGGTCAAAGGTCCTTAGATCTGATTTTAGCCAGTCTTCCTTCTCTTTGCCCTCTGTTTCTTCTTCTTTCCTCTCTTTTCCAAGAAATTGGAACCTAACCCCACTCCTGGCCTTTTGAAGAGTCTGGAGGGATACTAGCGACTAGGTTGGACGGACTCCCATATTTCTTGTTGCTGTCTCTGTTGGGACTCCTTTGGAAACATTCTCAGGTGCAAACACCAGGTTGAAGAGGGCCAGCGGCCTTTCTGTTTGCTTCAAGGCAGCGGGAGCCCACGCGAGGGAGAAAGGCGGCTGCCCCACGGTGTCTGGGTCCAGGGAGTTCTGGTAGCCCAAGCAGGAGTGGAATAGGAGTGGCCCAAGCAGCGGGAGCCCACACGAGGGAGAAAGGTGTCTGGGTCCAGGGAGTTCTGGTGGCCCAGGCAGGAGTGGAATAGGGAGACCCCATGAAATGCGCGTTTTGGGACCAAGGGAGAGAGGCAGTGCCAGCTACGCCCGGCCACGGTCCACCTCCATCAGCACTTGGCACCCACGGGTAAACTGCACCCCCAACCCCAGCCCC